GTGTGTGTGTGTGTGTGTGTGTGTGTGTGTGTGTGTGTGTGTGTGTGTGTGTGTGTGTGTACAGTGCAAAGCATCATTTCAGTAACATTTATTTAGAGAACAGTACCTACACTTTCAGATTAGTATTTTTCCATAGTTATTTTTAAATCATTCAAGGCCAAATAATATTTTAACATCAAATCAAAAATACCCCAAAACTGAACATTAAAACTATTTTACTCTATAAATTAAAGGGAAACTGACAGATTTATGATCATGTAATTTAGTCAATAATGAAATATTAAATGGTTGTTTATTCTGATCACATCATATAGAATTTTTGTAAAAAATAAATAAATATTTTTTTTATACCAAAATAATTTAGGGGGGCTTTAAAATATTTTAGGGGGGCTCCAGCCCCCCCTAAAATATGCCTAGTGACGCCACTGCGTTTCACTCATCAGTACATGACAGAAAACAGGATTTTATTATAAATAAAGGTGAGAAAAGTGCAGAGAAATGTTCAAATTTAAACCAAAAATCATTTCAGTTTGAAAGATTTGGACCAAGTTTTGTGAAATTTAAAATATTATCATAATATTCAGAAATAACCGTATTTTAGTCGCTCAAATCCAGTTTTTAAGCCTTTTTTTCACAGCAGTTTGTTCAGAAACATCAGTTATGAAATGTAGGACAGAGTTTAAAAAGGTTCAGGTTGAGCTCCTCACTTGGTTTGGCTGATAAATCTCTTAAATTATTTATATTTACTACACTCAGCTGGTGGTGACGTCACACGGGCTCCAGTTTCTTCTCAGAACCAGTGGTTTCAGGGTCAGAGGGGTCTTTGGGAGTGTGTTTGGGGGTCTCAGAGTCAGCCGGGTCCATGTCGTAGCCCTCGTTATAATAAGCCGTGGACCTGCCCCACGTCACCCTGCCGGATTTGGGCGGCGGGGTCCCGGGGGTCCCGGCGCCCCCCCGGCTCCAGTCCTCTCCGTCCTCGATGCACTTGGCGCGCTCCTCGCCTTTCATCCTCTGGCTCAGCTTCTCCGACAGCTTCCGGGCCAGCTCCACGAGGCTGCTCCTGGGCCCCAGCGGGTCCTCCTCCTCCAGCCGGATGTTGCCCAGGTACCACATGAGCCAGAGGACCAGGCTGAAGAACAGGACCAGGGAGCCGCTGTAGATCAGGAAGTCTCCGTAGAAGCGGCCKTCCAGGCGCAGGTCCGCGAAGATCCCCACGAGGAGCACGACCAGACCCACCAGGTCGAACAGGACCGCGACCAGGAACACGGGCAGGCAGGTTCCGACGCACCTGAGGGGGTTCATGTTGGTGCTGGCTGGGTGGACTGCAGCGGGAGGCTCGTGCACGTTCAGGATGCTTCATCCTTATACCTGAGGCGAGGCTGCGCACCTGTAGGGACACGCCCACCCCACCCCCCTCACCTGAAGATAAACAAGCACACCTTAAACCAGCTGCTTCCAGGAAGTGAACAGGAGAGGCCGACATTAGCATYTGATTTCCCTCTCAAATGTCCTGCAGCTCCTCCTCACGTGCACGCGCTCAACTCCTTCCGGTTTGACTTCGTTTCACTCTAAACAATAATTACATCATTATTGTTAGATTTGCAGGTGCAGTCTTATAAAACAGACCCACAGGTTTGTTTTTAAATGAATAAAGTCTCAATCAGTCAGTCAAATATGAGCTAAAGTTCAGGTGGTAGTAGCTGAAAGTCATCCTCAGCTCATAATCTGAGCTTAATAAGCTGTATCTAAAATTAAAGTTCCATTATTTTTAAAGTAAAGACTTTATTCTTTGAAGATAGAAATCATTTTATTTATCTTTTTTATTTCCTCACTAGTATTATATGTTTTTTTCTAATTTTTGCAATCATTTATTTGTTTTAGCTACTGTAATTAAAAACACAACACAAACACAATGTCATTAAATGAAAAGGAGCAGAAAGAAGAAACATTTCTTAATATATATGTTATTTGTTTTATTCCCATGCAGTATTTAGTGTACATTAGCTTTAACTGTATTTATTACTTTCTTATTTTCCTGCAGACACATATTTTAGCCACCAGGGGGCAGAAAACCAACCTGTCAACAACACGAGCCAACAGCTGTCAGCTGCTTTAGCGATGTGTTCCAGCTTTGACTAGAGTTTTAGTTTAGTTTTTATTTTAATAATTAAATAACAATAATAAATGTAGATTTAATTTCTGTTTTAAATATTTTAGTGATAAAACTCAGTAAACTGTGAGTCTGTGGCTCTAAACATGAATAAATCTTGTCCATCTTAAATAAAACTCGGTCAGATGGGTTTTATTTTTCTTCTTAAGTGGACAAAGAAACAATTTAATATTCTAATAAAAATTTAAACAGTTTAATAAACATGAACGTCATGATAGAAGTTTTTCTCTGCGGTTCTTTATATTTTCTTCATGAATGTTTTAAATCTCATTTAAATCTGGTGACGTCATTTCAGTCAAATTCTCAGGGTTTGTGTCGTTTAAGCTTGAATTCATTCCGATTTAAATATAATTTCAGATTTGAATAAAAAGGTTTAACTACAGGACAGGAAGTGGCAATCATACATTTTTAATTATTCATGACACAAAATATAAAAACACAACTTTACAAAACTTTATGTTTTTATAAACATTCAGGAGTCTTTGTTTCTAGTTTCASTTTATGCTGGAAGGAAGATTTCTGTTGTTTTTACAGGAACTGATGCAAACGTTTTCATGCAAACTGTGAGTTGGTCCAGGTTAAAACAGCCGCAGCACCACGCCACCAACACACAACATCACATCACCATCACACCACCACCATCACACCACCACCATCACACCACCAACACACCACCAACACACCATCACACCACCATTACACCACCAACACACCACCACCATTACACCACCAACACACCACCACCATCACACCACCATTACACCACCAACACACCACCATCACACCACCAACACACCACCACCACACCACCAACACACCACCAACACACCACCAACACGCCACGCTGAGTCATTCATTAACTTAAAAAACAAACAGTTTCTACCGCTGAGATTTTAAAAAGAAACTAAAACAGAACAAAGCTAAAGTTAGCCACGTAAACAAAGATTAGCAAAACTGAAGCTAATTGCTGAAACAAGCAGCTAAAAGTTAAAGTCAGCAAACCATTCGCTAAAGGCAAACTCATAGCTAAAAGCAAAAATGTTATAGCCAAAAACTAAAACCAATAAAAAAAATAAAGGTAGAGGATAAAATTAGTAGCTGAAAGTAGCAAAACAAGAGCAAAAACTGAGAAAAGAAAAACATTAAAAAACTCCTAAAAGTTTAAATTAATATGTGAATTGAAAGTTTAAATCAACAAAAGAGTTGCTAAAAGTTAAAATTAGCTGAACAGTAGCTGAAATCGAAACTTAATGGAACAGCTGCCAAAAAGCTAAATCAATTTATCTGCAGCTAAAAGCTAAACATTTCTGAACAGCAGCTAAAATCTAAAACTATGAAAATAAAAGTTGAAAAAGCAGAAAATAAAATCTTTTATTTCAATGAGAAAATAAATGTAAATAAAGTAACTTGTTTAAAAAAGTATAAAAACCAGAAACTGATGTAAACACTCGGGGACAAGCTGAACGTTTAGAGAACAGCTGAAATAACTGAACATCAGCTGAAGTCAGAGGAAACAGGAAGCTGTGGTGAGAATGCTGATTCAGCGCTCACACCAGGCCTTCCTGGAAACAAGCGTCCTCACGTGGTCACAGGTTGAAGACCGGAGGCCTGTAGTGGCCCAGGGGCTTCTTCAGGCTCTTTTTGTTCTCCTTGGTGATGGGGACGAGGACCACCCCGACCACGAAGACCATCAGGCCGATGGAGAGCAGGGCCGGGCCCAGGATGTTGGTGACCTTCCTGCAGTGGCCGGCGAAGTACAGGCCGCTGATGATGATGCCGCAGGCCAGGAAGCTGCCCCCCGTCGACATGAAGTGGATGGGGAACCAGAAGACCTCACACTTGTCCTGCGGGGCCTCCGTGGTCCAGATGGACTCGCTGCGGGACAGAGTCAGCACGGTGCTGCCCGCCTGGCTGGGGGGAGTCAGCTGGTCCCTGGACTGGGATATGGTGCACTCCCCCAGGGGGATGTTCTCTGGACTCGCCGGCATGGCCTCCTCGGTGTCTCTGTGGGAGAATCGAAACATCACCGCCTGGTTCTGAAACACAAAACTCTTCAGCTCCGGGGTCTTCTGGGACYTCACAAATACTGATGTTCCATACTGACAGTTTTCTTTCCAGTACTGATACTTAGTAAAATGTGTCTGGTATCAACGATACTGATCCGATACTTTGTGATAACACACATAATGTGTCTGGTAAATCTTAAAAAGTACCACTTTATAAATAATACATGACATACTGTAGTAAGTTATTTATTTAATTTAAAAGTCTTTCTAACCCTAACCTTATATTTGTTTAGCACAATTTAATATTCTTATCCTTAAGAAATATAATGATTTTTGAATAGTGAATAAAAGTGAGAAAAAATATTCTAAAAGTTGTTACTTTGTATATGTTTTAGTATGCTGTTTGTGGGTCCATGGCATGAAAAAGTTTGGTAACCCCTCATCTAGAATTTAATTACAGTCAGAAGAAAGAGATTATATGTTAAAATGACCTGCCATACATCTAGACTGAGTGACTGACGGAGCACATGCCGCTGTACGCATGCATTACCCAAGCGGAAGAAAAAGTAGTTCCCTCCAACCTCATGTTTAAGACAAGATTGGAATAGTTTAGTTGTTTTCCACTATTTTCCTGTTAATGATATTTATTATGTGAAATAACTAAAGTATTAAAGTATCGATATTTTGATTTTAATATCGATTCTAGAACATAAAGTTCTGGTATCTGTAGTATTGATATTTCAGTATCGATCTGCACATCACTACTTACAAACCTTTAAATCAGTCACGACCCCGACCACAAAGCTTCAAATAATTATTACTTTTCACATTTTAATAATCAAAACTACTGGAATCAGAGCAGGGGATGGGACCCCCTCATGACCCCAGCTGTTTTAAAGTAAATTACTTTCATTTTAACCCCTAAATGTCACAGGAATATTAGTTTTTGTTTGGTTTGTTTGACTAGTGCATTGTTCTCCATATGACGTCTTTTTAAAATAAAAACCAAATTAATCATTGAAATTTTTGTGGACCTCCAAGATACAGCTTGCGGACCCCTAGGGGTCCTGTGACCCCATTTTGAGAACCTCTGTCTTAGAGAGGATATCTGATTTCACTTCGATTTGTGTGTAAAACATGACAAACGTCTTGAATCCTGCAGGTTTGGGACTTTCTTTCCTGCAAAGATTGTTTTTCAACATAAAAAAACTGAATTTATGTCTTAAAACCTGCAAAGTAGTGAAAATAAAATATTTTACCCAAACAGATTTTTAATTTTTAAATCTCAAATGAAACTTAAGAAGAYAAAACAACAGGATATTTTTCCACCTCGTCTCGTCGTTCAGCTTTCAGGTTTTCAGAGCTGCAGTCCAACATCTGAACACGTCTGAAACCTGAGTCCAGATCGATGCGGTGACATCATGCTGCTTTCATTCATCCATTTATTATTCTCACTTAACTTTTACTCTGAAAAGCTTCTTCCTGTCTGGTCCTGGTGGCAGCAGAGCCCACCTCAGGACCCCCACGTCCATGAAAACCTGTTTCTTTGAATCATGYGTTTATCTGACCCTGTTCACTCTGTTTTCAATTACAATCATTGATTTTACAATAAATTAATCACTTTTTCGTCTCATGCCATTTGAGAGAAGAGCCTCCCATTAAAATGCTCACTAAATTAAGCCACTCCCTCTTTTTTACATCAATATATATAAATAAATATATCAGCAGATCTCTGGAGGAGATAAAAATACAGATAGTGTCTGATTTTTAAAAAGATTTAAATCGATAAATCTAAAAATTATGTTAAAATTTTCATTTTATAAATCAAACATTTATCTTTCATTTGATTTTTTGCTCATTAAATGAGTAAACAAACACGTACCTTTAAAATCTGGGTCTCAAATCACAAACAAGTTGGAGTCACATGTAAACAAACACATGAATAATCAAAAAGAGACGCTGAGAAGAGAAGAACTTCCTCCTTCGTCTGACCAGAGAAACCAGTATGAGGCAGCAGCCCAGACTTCCCCTGAACACCACCCTGCTGGGACTTTCTCCACCTCCTCCAGAGAACCCTGTGACCACCAC